ATTCGTGGACACCCGTTTACGGGGACAATGTAGTCCGATTTATCGTCAGTTATAAGCCAGTCTTGCGAAATGTCTCTAGAAACCTTGTGGGGGACTTGTCCCTGTGGAAGCACTCCTCAGCAACTCATACTTCGCATTCGTTGGAACAGCTCACGCCATACGGACGTACTCGTCACTTGAAGAACCGGTGTATTCCTGTGATCGACAACCTGGTTGCAAATCGGCCGTCATTTCCTGGATACTGTGAAGCACGTGGTTCAGTTCAGTTGAGCGTTATTTTGCTTAGCAGTAGTTTAATTTGATAGTTCTAACGGAAATCCACTAATATGGGAATTGCCGCAGACTGTGACCTGAGGTGTCTCAACGAGTGTTTCATTAAAGGGATGAAGCTTGAAAGTGAAAGCGGTTGACTAATAACTTTCTATACATATTCTGACGATAACCTGTATAAGTTTCACTCTTCCATTGTTTTTTTCCTTCGTTCCAGATGTACTCTCTCTCTCGGGTTTGATGAATATACTGAAGGATTTGTTGATGACTGAACGCGTAGTCCAGATTCTGAAGCATGTCCCGTCAAATGCTTTGACTGTTGAGATGCCCGAACCACCGGAATATCATTTACAGTTTCTCTTTTTCTATCTGTTTGTTATATGTCATATCATCTCGTCCAAACACCGATCAAAACCTTCACAAAGGTTGGATCGCAAATCAGGTGGCTCGCGGAAGAAGACCACATCCAAATCGGAAACGGGAAACGTATGTGAGATTCCGTCCGTCTCCCCTGAAGTGGACTTGGCCGATCGCGTTATAACGGATCCGCCGTTTTTGCGCGAGTCCCAATTTAGCGATATCACGGAGTTCGTGCAGGTTCTGAAAAGCCATAACTTGGACAGTTTTCATCCACTTTGTCAGCTTTTTGCTGAGAAGTTGGACTTACTGAAACAACATTTCGCTTGAAAGAGAGTTTCTCGATTTATTCTGAGTAGTGTGCCCCGTTGTGGTATATGCATGTTTTTTCTTCAGTCAAGGAAGTTTGCCATTGTCCACCGCAACTTCACGTATATTCTACAAGATGCCTCTGCGTGCCTCATGTTTCTCACGCTTGCACTCGAATAAAATCTTCGTTACTTGCGACTTACCCTCTTTGGGTGGACTATTTCTATAAAAGAGCTGCTCTTTTCTGCCATTGAATACTAGGAAGCCGTCCCTCCGTTGCTGTCGGTAGTGCAGTTTCACCGTACCTTTTTTGTCAGACACCATTCGTTTTCTGCGGGCAACTAGTCTTTCATCTACAAACACCCCGTAGATTGCACTCGAGACAGCCACGTTGGCAGTTACTTTGTAAATAATTGAATACAATTCTTATTATCATTCGGTCTTTC